AACCTAGGCCACCTGGAACATCTGCCTTCTCTGGATCTGTGGTACCCTCAGGAGTGTTATATCCACCACAACCACTGCTCTCTGTAATAAGCTAAGCATCATTCACTTCACCCCTCCTCTCTCACACTGTCCTGGCTTTGCTTCACCTTGAAATGAGAGGCTTTAGAAAGGATCTCATGAAAAGCCTCATGCCCACAGCTGCACAGCTAGTTTGTTTCCCAAAATAAACCTTGCTTCACATTTTACAAAAGATGATAGAGAAAGGTAGGGAGTTTTGACATTTAGTTTATCATACTCACTGAAATCTCTCTGCTTTGCTTTGCTTTCGATTTTGTTTGCTGGCTTTTTAAAGTTGGTTCCTCAACTGAAATGTCTTTGATAGCTACACACAAAGATTGATTCAGCTCAGGAATCAAAGAAATATAGTTCTAACTTTTTTTTCTATCTTCAGGGTCCAAACAAATGTAGACTGTAGGGAGTTGCACGTGAAGGACTCCAGAAGACAATATAATCCAGAAGTAATTTCAGAGAGGAGTACACAAAGCAGCATGCAGCAACAACTCCAGATTCTGCCAACTATTTCGAAACCTATCAGCTAAAGACTTCCTCATTTTCATGATGTCCACATGACATATCCAATTTCCAGATATAAGCATAGCATAATTTGATTGCTCACCTGTGAAATCTATGACTACACTGAAGAATCTATGACTACCTATAAGTTACATGTGTAACTAATGTTATATTGCAAGTGCTCAGGGTTTTTTTCACTCACAATATAATTATTGGAATTCAAAGCACATTTCTTGGCTATGGCACATAGAGAAAACATGACCTCTAAGCCCAATATCAGACCATGTTTTCTTTAGACACTCCAAAACAACACAAAGAATAAAACCAGTAATTATCAGATCCTGATGCTTTGCTGCCATGTCTTACTTTTCCTTCTGACTGTTTGCAGTCTGCAGGCAATTCTTTGGCAGAATTATGTCATTCTGTAAGAAAACTCTTCTCTAGTGCTTTACGAAGATTACAAATGCACATGTAGCTACCATAAAAGTATTTACCTCTCTGAGCCTGTGCCACATCCTTCTAATCTACCGGAATCACTTTCTCCAATCACTGTGTACCAGCTCAGCCTGTAGGTTTCACGAGCCAGAGAAGCAAAGACCTGGTGCAATTGTTTTGAATTCCTTTTGAAGGCTATGGTCCACCACTGCCAAAAGCCTTCCTGCAGCTTTTGGAAAAATATTGCACTTTCCTTGACATGCCCTTAGATGGGAACCCACTGCTTTAAACCTTTCTGCTGTTTCTTGTTCATTGCTGAAGTTGTAACACAGTACAGACAGATACTGTCACTAGCTCCCTTGGCTGAAACTTCTGCCACCACTGGTGACAACCCCAGAGGTGTACAGAAGTTGGTGTGTATTTCTTAGGCCCACACACAGGACTCCACCATCTCTCACAGGTGTTCAAGGAACACCTGCAATTTCTAGGCACTCAATCATCTGTTTACTTCTGCCTTTGATATCACAGATTGTCCTGCCTGTCTCATCCTCACGTATTAATCAGTGGCACTAGTGACTAACTCCACAAACACAAAATGATGGTGAACCCTGCCTGAAAAAAAAACCAGCATTAAAACTCCACTGACATGCAGCTCATCTATAGAGAAAAGCAGCTCAAGGTATGATGGGATGATTTTAATGTTGAAAAAATACGAGATGGAGAAAATATCACTGGATGGAAAATGAGGGCATTGGAATCCACGCTGCCAACAACTCCCACAGAGTACTGTGCTGGCATTCTTCTCTGCACACCAAAATGTCACTCAGAAGCCTTTAACAGAAAACCTTGCCAAGGATGGGCCTGGGCTTAAGCCAACAGTGTTACATACAGTTAAAGATTCATACCTCCAGCTCAGCCATTGGACACCTACAGCATTGGGACCAACAGCAATGTCAGCAAAAATTCTAATATAAAAACTTTCTAGCACAGGTATCACAACTGTGTTAAGTATAACCACAAATGGTAATGGTCACAGAGATCACTGATTTCAGCCCTGGCCAACTAAACACAAAACATACAGATTAGAAGATAGAATCAGATCCTAAATAGAAAAATCACAAAAATTGTGTAAGAAGCACCAAGCACAGCATAATAAAGAATGGATTGGAGGAGGAATTACTTGACAGCATTTCTGGATATCAATTTGCAGTTCACCTTCAAAAAGAAAAGGCATCCCCACAACTGTTGTGATGATTCCTCATTTCTAGCAAAGCAACTGGCAAGAGGTAATTCTTGTTAACAGCGTGTTGAATTATGTATTTGTACATAAGCCTTAAATGTGTATTTTAATTTCACCTGAGTAAATTACCAACATATAAATCCTACCCTTCTCAAATATCTCTGAAATTTTAATTAACCTGATATCATTGCAGCCAGGCAGTCAGAAATGATGAGTAACATATGATTCATATTCAGAAGTAAACGCACCTGCCTTCCAACAACACTTCTAATTACTGATTCATTTTACCCTTTAAATGATGTCGAAGTCAATTTTAGCCAGTGACAAGTCCTTTCAGCTCACAAATAATGTATAAGGAATTGCTGGGTTGTCGGTTTGAAGGACATTTTTAAATGCACCGTGGCAAAGAGAATACATTACCAAAACACATCATTTTACCTCAGAAATGCATCAGTTCACCACGAGCTTCCATCAGATAAGATCTTACCAGGAGCATTTAAGCTTTGATTTAAAGTGATGTCCCACCATTTCACTCTCTTTGGTCTATGTAATAAAGATTGAGGGAGTGCTGCCATATGTGAAATATAGCAACGTGCTTATTTCTAACATTATAGACAACAGGAAAAAAAAAAATAAACATGTTTTTTGAATACTTCAAACGTACTCTAAAAACACTGCACCAACTGCAGTGAGACTATGAAGGAGGTCTTTACTGAACTGCCTCTTCGTCTGACAGCAGTATATCTTCGAGGAGTAAGCAGGTAAGCAAAGGAAAACCTGCCTCCAAGATGTTTCATTGCCTTTCTGCTCTGAACACTTAGTTTTTTCAGGACTTGGACCTTCAGAAGGCTGAAGCTGTTCTCACATAGGCCTCATAAGAGCTTAGCCACTGAAACAGGCATATGACATAAGGTATATCTGCTGAAGTTTTCAACCCCCATAACACAATTAAAATGTGACAACTTCTATTATGCAAAGCCTTATTTATTCTCAAATCAGTTTGCACATTAGATTTCTCAAAGTCACCACCATGAGCTTGACTTGTAGCACACCAGTAAAACCTATACATTTCCAAGGACAAAAATAAACTTCCTTCTGGCTCAAGTCATATAGATTTTATACACAGAAGCCAGCTCCTTCTGGCATCTGCCTCTAAATTTCTTGATATAATGAGAGCACCATGCCTGCCATGTTTCCTTTACTTGGTGTGCTAACTCATCTTTTAGATCAAACAATAGAAAAGACACAAAAAACATAGGAGCCAAGAATGGTTATGTCATCCATTTATCAGTTTTAAACCGTCACTTCAACAGTTTAGAGACTCTGTGTTCTGGTTATAGAAGTTCCTTCACAGCTATAAGAAAAAAGATGGTTTTAAGATTCATGGGTGCAAGAAACACAGCCAGTTGAGCCAAAAGCTGCCTTAAAGCCCTGGGCTCCCTGGGCAGGCAAAGCACCTTTGGACAATGCAGGTACTGGTTTTCCGGTACCATATTTTCACATAAGCAGGACAAACCTCTGGTATCCTGTAATGCTTTGAAAATATTGTTTCCTCTGAATAATGGATATTTTGGAGAGGAAGCAGCAAATAGTACATGACAGTACTCAAATTTATTCAAGATTATATGAAAATATTAACATCCTCTTTCATTCCCAAATAATTCAAAAGAACACTGACAACTATAAACTATGGGGTTTCAGTATGCAGTGATTTGAGCACATCCATAAAAAGCTTTTGCAGTTTTCAGAAGGTGCTTAAAGCAGATTTGGTGACAACTGGGCTGAAATGACTTTGTGTTATAGTAGGATAGCTGTGTATTAAACAGACACTACTACACACACAAATTACTGAACAATCTCTGGGTAGCAAGTGGTTCCAGTGATTTAACTTATCTTTTAACAGTTACTTCTTGAGTAACTTTTTCTTTTTTCTTCCTTAAAACCTCATAAATTATAATCTCATCCATACTAGCACCATGCAATCTGTGTTAACAATCCACTTTATTTCCTCCAGTAAAAGCAAGTGCATAAGATTTATTAACAAACTTGCAATGCAAAAAACCCCCTATTATTACATTATTTAAGTGAAATACAACCTCAATAAATATCAACCAAAATAAAATCCCAAGTCTGCTATCTAAAAGACTAATGAGAATCCTACAAATTCTGTAAGACACCTTCCTTCCTGTTTAAGGTAGACAAGGAACCAAATCTTTGTGAAACAGACACAAAGGTGGGCCTGTGAGGCTGTCAGAAGCAACTCCTGTAATGCCAAAAAATCTGGCAAAATGCAAAAATCAAATAATCACTAGTAAGATCCATCTTAATAGGCTGTGATTCTATGAAAATTGGTGGCCTCAGTGACTTAGAAACAAATCAAATCTTAAGAAGTCAATAACATTAAGTGAAAAGCAAGCATCCAAATTCTGGTCTAATTTGCACAACAGATTCAGAAAAAGCAGAAGGGGACCTTCAGCTTGAACCACAGAAAAAGGGTGGAGCAATGATTTTTCACTTGCTGTCTCTCTAATTAACTAAAATTGCCCATTGAAAGCAAAAGTAGATACATCTGTGTCTGAAACTTTCCATGTTTAATTAAAGACTAATTTTTAGTTAGGAAGAGGCAGTTATGGAAGAGTCATCTTATCAATGAAGAGAAAATATCAAGTAGGATGAATGAATAGAAAATAAATCTGTCTTAATATCATATTTCTCATTACCAAAGAAGAAGGTGTGTTTAAGTCAGCTTTACCTTTCTCACAATGACTTCCTGTGAATCCAGATGGGCAGACACATTTGTTAGGGGCTACACAAGTTCCACCATATCTGCACCCCTCTTCACAGAATGCTGAAAAAGAAAAAGAACATGTGGGTACAACTTTGTTTATTTAATTTTTTATACATATGCAAGATACTAAGAAAAACATCCACATTCTAAGCAATTAACAGAAATAAACATATTATAAATCAGTCCACCTGCAAACTCAGAGAGAAGTAGCTCACTTAAACAATGTGAGGAAGAACGTCAGATTACACTGTAGGCAAACGACCTCACCAATAAAAGATTAATAACCATCTGGAAGAAGAGAGGGAAAAATAACAACCTACAATTTTAATGGGGCTGGTCTTCTGTCAATTATACTCCATATGAGCATTACAAATACAATGCTCTGGTGATCCACAGAAAACAAGCTGGTCAGATGCTGTTAACTACTTTGTTTCTCACTTCTATCATATACACTTCACTGGAATGTCTGTGAACACATTTCCCTATTTTTTTTATTTTTAAGGGTAAAGTATATATTTTTGGAACCAAGAAATTAAATAGGCTTCTAACTGAAAACAGAGAAGAAGGTCTCAATCACAAGCTAGTGCCTCTACTGAGGTGTGGTTCTTGACAGACCAACCCATCAGTACTTTAAAAGGGCATCTGTCAAAGAACTACGATTTGAAAAAAATGCTGGATCTCGTATCTCTTCTTTAGAGCACTGTTTAGGAGGAAGGTTTAACAGGAAGTCCACTAACTTTGCAAAAAAGGTATACTTGCAGTTTAATATGGTGGGAGGTCTTTTGTACAAGGAGGGGGACTGAGGTAAGAAGAGAAAGGGAACTGCAAGAATCAGGACATGATCTGTTTTGCACTGTTTGTACTCAAGAAAGGCCTTTGCTAAGATTAAGAACAGGCGCTACCCACAAGAGAGACTCCCCACCCTGTCTTGGAGATTTATTGAAGTTCCCAAGTTACTCAGAGGGTTTGACTGCACTTATGAGGGAAGCTACAATTAATATTTAAACAGCAGCTCTCTGCATCTAAGCTAATAACAGAATAGCAAAGTGCTTCCTGCAAGCTAAAATCACAGATGGAATGTTGGCAAAGAGATTTTACAAATGCGACAAAAAGGCTTGAAGTGCTAGATAACAGAGGAAATGTTTAAGATTTATTTTCAATGCACTAAAAAGAAAAATAAAGTGAATAAACTTCTAAGCATTAAAAAGAATCTCTTGCAATTGTTAACCACTTAGAGTCAAAAAAAAAAAGCACATAATCCCGTCTCTTGGCTGAATCAATAGACAGATCTGCTTTAGTCTAAATATGAAATTTGCAGCACGTCACACTGTTTTATGGGGGATAACATGGGGAGAAGAACACTAAAGTGGTTTACAGAAGATGGTGGTAGAACCCCATTAAATGCTCCTACGACTGCTATATAAGGCAGTGGTGTGGAGAGACGTGGTTCCTGCCCAGTAACACCTCCTGCTCACCAATGCACACACTCCATATGCGGATCTTCTAAACTATTTTGAAACCAATCAGTTTCTAGTGTATGGGAAAAAGAGAAATATTATTTAAGAGTAGCATCTGGTGCTTTTTTGCTTATAAATATTTGTAGAAAAGTATAACTGTGCAGAAACCTGAAAGCAATACTGCAAAATACAGCTGGAAAACACAAAAAACACAATGAGACTCCAAAGATTCTCTCTCTATAGCCCTTAAAAAAATGTTTGCTCATTTCTAGTCTCAGCATTTTTAGAGAAGGTGCCAGTTAAAGTCTCCATCTATATTTTTTCTAGTTTGAAATTATGAGTAAGCAGAGAAGTGTGAAACAGTAATACATTTCTGCATGACATTGAAAGAATTAGAATTTATGGCAGAGCAGATATCCAGGGCAAAAGAAGAAAAATAATGACAAAAAAGCAAATAGTTCGTCAACAATATGTGCTACATTGCACTGGCAAAGAACTACACTGGGGTCTTAAAAGAAGTGATAAAGGGCATAAAAATTTAAAAATGTTTATTTTCTACAGCAAATGTGAGTGTCCATTGAAATTCAGTTGAGCTGATGGGGACAGGCAGGTAAAAAGGCTTCAGTTAGAGCCACCATAACAGATACTGTCAAGTTACTAACGTGAAATATGTGATCCTTCAAATAAATCACATTCTCAAGTCTGCTCAGTAATGTAGTGTTTTCTTCTGTTCTCTTTTAAGGTCACTGTCAGAGAAAGGCTTATGACACAGGGCTGGTCATGTAACAGATTATCCCACAGGTGCAAAAATTGTGTTACAGCAGTGCAGCAGGTCTTGACCACTACAGACACACCCAAGCACGCCGTTCACATCTGGGAGATAAAGACTAGGTTGCCTGCCATGGACCAAAACTCACTCTCTATCCTTCTATTTCTTCCTATATATCCACATCAAAATATGCCTCCTGTATAACTATCCAAATGTGCCAGCACTTACTTGTTGAGGTTTTGAAATATCCCTATCCTATGTCACAGCTCAGCAACTGAAAAACACCAGTATCTGCAGAGTGACACCTGGGGAAATTGCTGTGCTACAGGTTCCTGCACTGTCTGGTACATGAGGAGTTACCCAGGCACCAGGTTGCTATATGGATGAAGAGGGAGGATGGAGTTGGGGAAGAAGCTGAGCAATGGCCACAGAAGGAAAGAATTCAACTCTCCTTTTCAATTTTTGCACAAGCTGAAAGGTCCTCTGAAATATGCACTAACTGTGCTTGTCTTTGTTGCTCAGGCTTTGATGGATTTGGTTCATTCTTATATTTTTATGCAAGAAAAGAAAACCCCAAGGAAGAGTGCCAGAACTATCCTGCTGTTCCCCAGATGGTTCTTCCAAACCCTCTAATAATTCCTGCACTGTAGGCTTGCGGGAAGCGGGAACATCAAACCCACAAATCTCAGAATGTAGCTACAAAATCAAAATGTTTGTCTAAAGGCTACTTTCCTTAACTGCTAGAAAAAGAGCTCACAGGATTATATGCATTACTCATAGCACCACTCTGAACTTTAGGAACACTCAATACCTCCAATAATAGCAACTCAGTTTCAATTGCTAGCAATTTTACCCAACTTCACTTATTTGAACAATTTTCTCTAATAGTTCAGCCGCTGGCTGAAGCCTTTTAGAACATTTCATCAAAACTCATTCATTTCCAACAATGAGATTTTTCCTTTACACCCTTAACAGAGACGATTAATTAAGGAAAATCTTTACATCACTTCTGTACCTATGCCTTATGGATAAGAGGACCCAACAGGGAGCAGTATAGGAAATCAACTGGAGTGTCCACCTTTTCATGAAACTACCTGCGCTGGTGCTTGTGCTTTGTTATGTGTCTTATGAGTTGTGGGATCTAAGACTTCCACAGTGGTTTATAACTTTCAAAAATCAAAACTCTATTTGGGGATGGGGGGGGAAACTAGGGACCCACCAGTACCCCAGAACCAGCAGTTATAGACTTCAATTCCAGACTCCATTCTATTCAGAGAAAGTTAACACAAAAACAATAAATCGCGGTTGGATTGTATTTTGCTAATGTATTCCCATAAATAGATCCTGTCTCTGAAATTATTTGCAGGCTGGCAGGCTTGTTAAAAAGGAGAATGGTTACTGAATTCACAATAGAGGCTTTATCAGGAAAATTAAGTGAAGATGCCATTAGGGTAAAGTCTAGGGAGGATAAGCCTCCATCGTTGAGAGTCTTATTCAGTATTCTGTATGTAAAAGAAACAATCTATTGATTTCAGGAAGCTTCTGCCAAAGTGAACAGACCTTTGTAATGCTAACAGATTTCTTCCTCCAAAGTAAAAGCCTTTATCATATAAAGACCTTTCCTAAATAGACATAATTTCTCTGCAGAGGAAAAGTTTTATTTTTCATCTATGTCCTCCTTGATGATAGAGCTGCAGAGAATGGAAACAGCCAAAATTCTAAGTCTACTGATTTGTCATTTTTGTGGTAACATTGCAAGGACAGGAGAGCCTCACTGCAGAGCTCCATGAAGAGCAGCATGAAAGCACCCACTGACTTGATACTATGCTCCTGAACATGCTCAAGATGCAAACCCACTGCCCACAGACCTATGAGGCACAGGTTTCTTCTCTCCTGCCCAGTTAAATAGAATCATCTCCTGTCCCATTGAGACTATTATGGGCATCCCCAGGAAGGAAAAGAAGAAGTTAGCAGTTAGACCCTCTTTGAAGGGAGGGTGTGGAATCTGTCTGACATTTTTGTAAATTTATTTTGCTCCTCCCTAGACCATAATGCATACGAGAGCCTGTGTGAGGGAGGCATGCCAACAGTAACTTCAAATATTTGGTACTGCCTGGTTCTGAAGATCACACTCTCTTTTTAGCCCCCCTGCTTATAAGACTCAGGGGAAGCTGGACAGTGAGTTCCAGCTTCCTCTCCTACAGAGCAGAAAGAATTTCCTTGATTATTTTATATTTTTTTTTAAGATAGCACAGTAAAAGACATCACTGTGCTACTATAAGAAAGCAGGCACTGCAGGTTGGAACCCTCATGTTGAGCAGCTCTCCTTTCCAAGTGTAATAAAGTGTTACAAAAATCAATTAAAATATTAGTATTCATTTAAAAAAAATAAAATATTTTAATTAAAAGATCACAAAATAAAACCCCAATAATTCTCCTACAAATTCAAAGGAAAGTCACCTAACCATAAAGAGAAACAAGTCACTTTTCTTCCAGAATTATATCTATTAAATATTATTTCTTCATAGACACACAAAAAAATTTCTATCAATTTATAATAAAACATCACAATTTTAATATTGCTGTTGCATTAATATTTTATAAATTTCATATGCTCAGACACATTTATTAAATGCACCTTTTAATAGGTTGGTTTCTTGATGTTGTCCGGGTACAGCATAATCCATGCTTTTATAGCTACCTATCTCACCCTCTACAATATTACTATAGGCTTATAACATGACCTACTGTAGTGGAACCTTTCATATAATGTACTGGTTTACCTCCTCTTTATCTTATCTGCCCATTTCTTTTCAAAAAAGGAAACTGATTTA